AGATTTTAATAGGATCAGAGAGCCTGTCATTGGCGCAAACGCGGGCGTAAGGAGATGAGTATAGGGCCATAATTTTGGATATAAACGGAGCACCAAGCCCCAGTTGAGTCAGTGAAGCGCAGAGAAAGTGCCAGCCAGCCCTGTCAAACGCCTTTTCAGCGTCCAAGGAGAGCATGCAGGCACCTTCTTCTCCTGGACATGGTCAATCAGGGCTATGGTCTTGGAGGTGTTATCCCTCGCTTCCCTTAGGGGGACAAACCCAACCTGGTCATTATGGATGATGGTGGGCAGTAGAGGTTGAAAGCGGAGGGCTAGTAATTTAGCATAAAGCTTGATATCACAATTCAATAAGGAGATTGGGCGGTAACTCCCAGGCATGGAGTGGTCCTTACCCGGCTTTAGTATCAGGGAGATATGTGCTAATAAGGATTGAGGGGCAAAGGGACAGGAGGGGGAGATAGAGTTGAAGACATCTAATATTAGTGGGGAGAGTTCAGGGGCAAAAAATTAAAAAAACCTCGCTGTGTAGCCATCAGGTCCTGGGGCTTTACCGTTTTTCGTGGCTTTGATGGCTCTAGTGAGTTCCTCAGTGGTGAAGGGGGAATCAAGGGTAGAGCGGAACTCAGGGGGTATGGAGGGTAAGGGAGTCCTGGCCAGATAACCAGATTAAGCAGTAGAGTCGCATATCGGGGGAGGGGTGGTTTCAAGGGAATCTAAGTTATAGAGCTTCGAATAGTAATGAAAGGAGTTCAAAATGTCAGTATTCGAGTGTACAGTGTTACCGTCAGGGGAGCGTATGGATAAAATAGAGCGTAAGCCCTGGCGTGGGTATATGGTGCGGGCCAATAAGGAGCTGCAATTATTACCGTATTCATACGAGCGCTTCAAGTAGCGATCCCTGTAACGCAAGGAAGCTTGATCCAGGAGAGCCAGCAATTGTTTACGGGTATTCAGGAGTTCTAATCCCGTGGAATCATCGCTCACTAGTTTATGTGATCTCTCCAGTGTGGATATCTTTGCAAATAAAGAGGTAATTTGCTGGGACCTCCATTTCTTAAGCCGGGCCCCATGCTTGACAAGGATTCCCCATAATACACATTTGAGGGTTTCCCACCTAATGGGAAGAGAGGTCGGGTCATTAGCATGATCCTGTTGAAAGTTAGAAATGGTCTGCTTGATCTCCGCACAGCACACTGTGTCAGAGAGGAGATTATCATTCAGCCTCCAAAATGGGGAAGTGGGCGGCATCGCAGAGAAGCGGAGGGAACAAAACAACGGTGCGTGGTCCGACAACACGCGTGGTCCAATGCTAATACCCGGTGAGGCGTCAAGTAAGGTTTGAGAGACAAACATGTAGTCTATCCTACTGTAAGAGTTATGTGCATGTGAGGAAAAGGTGTAGTCAGTGACGTCAGGATGTAGAGTCCGCCAAAAAGGTCAAGGAGGTGCATGGAGGCAAGTTTTTTTTTTTTAAACAATTTTTTTATTGTCGGACAGGAAGAAACGGAAAAAAACATTACATGACATATACAGGCGTACCATACAGCACCAAATATGCATAGCATTAACAGTTTAGACGGTACATCTGCAGTATCAGAGGCAAGTTTTTAAATTTCAACTTATGTAAGTCTGAATTCGAGATGGAACTTTTACCAGAGGATGTCTCGGCGTGGGTTGAAGTCGCCACCCAAAACTATGGCGCCCTCAGCGAAGGACTCCAGGACCCTCAGATAACGCAGACAAGCGGAAACCTGGGAAGAATTAGGCAAATAGATATTAGCAATCGTATACTTAGAGCCGTTTAACGTGGTTTTCAAAAAAACATACCGCCCTAAGGGGTCAATAGCAGAGTCGAGTACATTGATCTTACACATTTTGTGGATCCCAATGGAGACACCCTTGGATTTAGTAGAGGGATCAGTGCTGTGGAACCACTCTCTAGTAGCATTGGGAGCAGGCTGGGTGCTTCCCAGCGCAGAAGTGCGTCTCCTGAAGGAGCACAATATCAACCCTTTGTTTATGCATGTGATAACGAATCTGGGATCGTTTAGAGGGGTGATTTTAAACCCTTTCACATTAAAGGAACTTATTGACAGGGACATGGAAGAGCATAGTAGCCAGCATAATGGTGATAAAAACATGATCGGTCAACGGTATGCACCGCCCCAGGAACATAGAGAACAGACAACACAGCAGACAGACAAAACAGGGGTGACCGGACAAGGAACATAGAGGGAAACAACCGTAACAGATATAAAGGTGGCTCACAAGGGGAGCCCAAATGGGACTGTACCGCAGAGCCATGCCCCATAGGGCAGGCTCCAGGTAGGGAACCAAACTACTAAAGCCGGCCATATGGCCAAACACCTAGTGTAACATGGGTGACTTAGTATGGGGGCAGGGGGTCCCAAACGGAGCGATCAGATGAGAAATCTGCTCGTGGGCAGCACCCCACCACCAGCCTAGCAATAATAAACACATATACTGTACAAACTAAAGTAAAGATGGGGTTATGCACTGTAAGGTGAATGATGTAAACAGAACAAGGCACATCAGTTCGGAAGCACAATCTGAAACAGAAACGGTAAGACCAACAGGATCTATAACCGTGAACGGACACCCCGTCCTCAAATAGCAGGGATGGTTGAAGTTCCTGAAATATAGAGAACAGGACGAAACCAGTGTTCTCAAACTGTAAGGAACATTTTGCTATGGGACGGAAGCCTTGGGTTCCTTTAGTAGTAAAGCCGCCTGAAGGGAGGAAAACAAATCGCTTCACCGAGGAAGCAGATCTGCGAGGAGACTTCGTCTGCCAATGTTCACGGACCGGAACATCAGGAAAGCTCGTGGTATAGAGCCAATCCGGCAGGGATACCTGGGCCAGCTGAAAAAAGCAGAGGAACCGCGGGAGGTCACCCAGATGTTGGAAGATTGTGGATTTTCCATCGCGGGATGTGATCAGGCGGAATGGGTATCCCCAGCGATAGGTAATGCTGTTGGCGCGGAGCACTTCCAAAAGGGGTTTGAGAGCCATGCGCATCTGGAGGGTACGGCGAGAGAGGTCCGCCAGAAGGAGGATCGGGGAGCCGTTAACTGAATCTCATCAGACGCTCGGGCCGCCGACATCACCGCTTCCTTCACCGAATAAAAGTACACTCTGCAAATGACATCTCTCGGGCGGTTGGGGGTGGCTGACCGCGGGCCCAGGGCCCGATGTGCTCGGTCAATCTCTAGCGGTGAGTCGTTGGGCTTCTGCAGGAGCTGATTGAAGATAGCACGAACCATGTCAGTGAGAGCCGCAGGTTCCACTCCTTCAGGAATCCCCCGAAGGTGGATGTTGTTGCGCCGGGATCTGTTTTTCTGGTCGTCCAGTTGGTAGATCAAATCGTGCAATTGTATCGAGTGGTCTTGCAGCACCTGGTGATGTAGGTCTTATCTGGAAGACACTGCATCTTGAGTAGTTTCCAGGTCTTCCAGACGTGATCCAATGCCGGCAACATCTGCTTTGAGCCCAACCATCTCGGCCTTGTATGCGGCCTCCATCCAGGACACGTAACGCTCCAGGTCGGCACGTGTAGGCAGGGAGCGGATATAGGCCTTCAGGTCGTCCTCACCCTCTTCCCGGCCAAAATCCGAAGGATTAACGGACTCCTCCGACACCGAAGCCATCAATGGGGAGTGGGGAAGGCCTAACCGAGGGGAGGATACACTGGCCCGGGTGTTTGCCAGTCCAACGGGAGTCCACACGTGGCGAGGTCCGGGCCTGGTCTGAGAGGCCCGATACAGCCAGCTGGGCCGCAGATGAATGCGGCAACTTCTGCGAGGCCTGGAAGAAGGTGGCGAGCTTCCCCGATTTACGTCCACCTGTGCTCGGGGTTGCCTTGGGGTGTCGTTTGGTACCAATCAGGCGGTTAGGTTGCTAATGGAGCTGTAGAAAGGCTGTAGGGGCACCACGCACGGGAGCAGAGGAAATATGCAACTCACTCTGCCATGCGCCGGCCATGCCCCCGAGCAGCGGGGATTTGAAAGGACACAGGTTGCTGCAGCCACAGTTCTCAGGAGAACTGTGGACCCCGTTCGTAAGTACGGATTGCCAGTAAGTCGGACGTCTGTAACCCGGGGACTGCCTGTATGATGCGGATGCTGGTAATGATAGTACCCGCCAGGTACAACACAAGCTATTGGGTTCCTAGGTACTAGGATTATAGCCAGAGAGAGTCAATCAACATGTAGGAAAAAGGATGCAGGTGAGAAATCCCATTATAGGGTACTTGCAGTTGAGGAGTCAGACAAAGGTATGGAGGCAAGCTGGCCGTGAGGAGGAGGTCCCAGGTCATCTGGCTACAGGTAGAAGTTAGCAGGTGAGTAGAGGCGTCAGTTGGCTGCAGGACGCTAGGTCCTCAATAGTGGAACGCCGTGTCAGCCTCCCGACTTCTTTAAATAGCCTGCTGGGGTGGGGCGCACAGAACACCGGGCAGCTTCCGCGTTCCACCCTGGAACACAATGTGTCACGTCCCACGGGGAGGAGCCATAGAGACGCTCCCCCTAGCGCCGCGCTCCAGCGTGGAACGCAATCTGCGCACAGGGGAAACGCGGGAGGTCTTAAGTTATTCATACACATTTGAAGGCTGTGAAGACAACCTCTCGTAAGGTCTACTATTGGAAGGCATATTTTACATGGGTTCAGGCTAGGCATTGCCACCCCAGTAAGTACTCTGATGGAGGAATCCGATCTTTTCTCTAGTTGGGATTGGGTCAACTCTTAGCCTTGAGTACCATCTGACTCCTTTGCAAAAGCTTCCTGACAGGGCAGGGCAAAATGTGTGTGTTTTCCACGTGGAAAACTACGCGGAGAACGCAAACCCTATGTGTAAATGGAGCCTAATGCATGTGTTTTTTCTAGGTGAATGATATGTAAATATTATTTTAACTGCATTCTTGGTAAAAGTGTTTTTATGAAAAGCTACCAATTAATAATCTTTATTATCTCTGTGCAACAGTATTTGATGATGGAGATGAAAAGACTTTGCGGAGATCATCCCTCTGCCTGAAGGGAGAAAGACATTTTGCAGAAAGTCAAGTGAGTATTTCCCGATTTTCTTTTTTAGCATGCTTTAGCTTTTATCTGTAGGGGCGAGAATTCAACGGGTAACAAAAAGAGACCTTGCATACCAGAAATGGTATCTAAGGAGACAATTTATAAACAATGTGTGGAACTTTTCGACCTGCACATCTTTGTGAACACTTTTAGTATATTGTCTTCCCCGGTTGAATTTAATGTGATGTTGCCACTAGATAGAGTTGGTGAGCTTAGTAAATAGGTATTTCCTATGCTTCACAGCTCCATCTAATGGCCATAATAAGGATTTACATTACATTACATTTTACCTGAAATGAAAATATACTAAGGAAGGGAACACAGAACAAAAGTTCACATAGAGTTGTAGAGCGAATTGCTCTGCAAATTGTTTAGACATGTCCCCTTAGTGCAGCGGTTCTCAACGTGGGGGTCGCGACCCCGTCGGGGGTCGAATGACTAACTGCCGGGGGTCGCCTCGCGGCCCCGGGAAAGGTCTGCTCCGCTGTTTGTTTGGTTTTTTCCTGACATCGGAGCCGCATGCGGTCGTAAATCAGAGAAAAAAAAAACTTTCTCCCCTGACAGGTTCGCTATGCTCGATCGAGCATCGAGCATAGCAAACCTTTCTCTGCTTTTTTTCTTTCTGACATCGGGCCGCAGGCCGTAGTCAGTGAGAGAAAAAAAAATAAACCCATAGGAACACACAGCTAGATTCCTATTGGCTATTTCACTTTGCAATAGCAAACTAGCTATTGAGCCCGCCCTCTGCTGCTGCCACTTAGCAGAGGGGGACCTGAAATGAAGGTCCAGTTCTAATGATAGAATAAAAACCACCATAGGAATGCTGACGGATTACATATCTACTCAGGTAGGCCTGCACTCTCTCACCCCCTCCCACATGGTGCTGCTTTAATGTATTGCTGGGGTAGTCGGTAGTGGGATTTGTAGTCCTCTCTAGCTGCTAGTACATTGTGCTGTACCATCAGCTATAGAGGACTACAAATCCCAGCAATACATTATACACTGTACATTTGTTGTATTCCTCTGTATTTTGCGTTGCGCCGTATAATTATACAGCACACTGCAGAATACCAGCAGCTGTAGAGGACTACAAATCCCAGCAATAATAAATTATACGTCGCAATGGAGAATAACGCCAGCTACAGAGGACTACAAATCCCAGCAATAGTACCATATAGTATAATGTACTATTGCTGCGATTTTCTGTATTCCTCTGTAGCTGGCGTTATTCTGCGTTGAAAATACTTTTACTGTTAGGGGTTGCCACAACTTGGGCAATTTTATCAAAGGGTCGCGGCACTAGAAAGGTTGAGAACCGCTGAAATAGAGGATTTGTTGTCTCCTTTAAGCAGTGGTTCTCAAACTGTGGGTCGCTGTGTGTCCTCCTCAGCCCTCTCCTAGCGCAGCAGTGTCAGTTCTCCTGCCACGCCGCCAGATGTTGCTGCAGCAGCCGCGTCATCCCTAAATTTTACCATTGGGGGTCACCACAACTTGGCAAATGTTACCAAGGGGTCCCGGCCCTAGAAAGGTTGAGAACCACTGCCTTAGTGTGTCTCGACTGTTGGAAAAAATGTGCAATAAAACTTGCACCTTTTTTTGTGATTTCCCCGCTTAAGTGGTAAATACAACACAATGGACTCAATGTACAAAACTTACACACCAAGGTAAAGATTAAAATTTTTGGAGTCCATTAAGACTTAAAAATTTACAGCCACGTGGCTAAAATAAACAAGGATCATTATATCCTTGTGTAAATCTTTTTGAATTGAGCCTATATCCTGTTTGAAGCATTCCTTTTGATCCGCTTTGCCATGTTCACCTGTTTGAAGAGGAAAAACAAAAAAGAAAGTGTCAGCAGGCTTTTGGGCTTATGTCAATGAGTAAACTCTCATAGACTTGAATAGAGAGAGAAGCATAAAGCAAAAAGGAGCGCCTCCATAGTGTAAAACAGTATTTAACCCCTTCATGACAGTAAATATTTCATTTAAAAATTGGGTAATTTGTTGTGTTTTGGGGCATTTAATTAAATTTGTCACTAAATTTTGGGGTTTAATAAGGAGTTGCGCTAATATTGTGCAACATAAAAATTTTCAACTACCACCATTTTATTCTATAGGGTCTTGGCATTCAGAAAATATATAATGTTGGGGGGTTTTACGTCATTTTCAGGCCTAAAATGTGGAATATAACATGGGTGCAAAAATTGAAAAAAGGGCCTCAGTCATGAAGGGGTTAAACCAGAGTCTTCTGCCCCCAAGTATTCCACGGGTTTACATGTTTCAGAGGCATTGCCCCCTTCATCTGATGAAGGGGGCGTTGCCTCTGAAACATGTAAACCTATGCTTGGTATGTAATTCCTTTTTTCCTAACAATGTTGCTTAGCTTCCGCCAGGCGGTTGTTCCATCAGACATAACCCACTTTTAAAAGAATTGCAGAGCATAGCAGTCAATGTGCTGGACACTATTATGTGAACCTGGAGCCTCATCTAATGTATCATTACCCTCACATAAGAGAATGCATTTTACTGGTATTTAATCTATCATTAATTCTGTTCACTTTACATTCAGTGTCAAATTTCATACTGTTCATTTCTTAAAGCCATTAAATTTGCAAGTGTTTATTACAGCTTTCAGTAATAATTTCCACCAGTACCATAAATGACCATCATTAAACATCACAATCAAATTGCATTTGTTTATTGCGAGTGCACTACGAGCTAAAAAATTGTATTGTCACTTTTCAGTGACACAGGTCGTTGCTGTACGATTCAGAGAATATGTTGTCCGCACTCCATTCAGCTTCAGGATATCATCTTTTTTTTTTTTTAAATCAGATATTTTTTATTGACATTTTGGAGTTTTTAACATGTTTTTGAACAGCATAATTGACATCGCATACATATTGAAACGCCATACAGAGTCATATCCATAGAAATTAACACAACTAACTAACAACATATAGCCATGTGGCCTGCCATGTATCCCGCAGATGGAAATTGTGAAAAGGTCGGGGGGGAGTGGAGCAAGTAGGGGAAACAAACCCGAAGAGCATCTCCCTGTGTACTAGTATGTTCAGAAGAAAAATTAAGTATGCATACGCCACTGACTTGCAATTGTGCCCTGGTCATACCAGAGATGGGGGATACATAAGACTCTCATCCTCCGTTCTTACCCTGAGCCATGGCCCTGCGTTCATACTCTGTCTCCAATACAATGCACAGCATAAACCTCTACCAATCATCTGCCTACTGTGCCCTCCAGTCATCTCATCAAGCCCTCCAATGAGGCTAATGATCTCCAGTAGTCAGTGAGGGCCTAGCCCTCCACCTGTCCCAGATATTATAGAATTTGCGCAGAGTTCCCCTGTGCTCATATGTTATTTTTTCCAGGGCTATAAGACGGTCCAACTCCACCTTCCAGGTCTCTGCCCTTGGTGCGACATGCGACATCCAAAGGAGGGCAATAGTCCTCCTAGCTGCAAATAGAGCCCTAGAAACAGCCTCCACGGTGTAATTGTCCCAATCGGAGGCGTCAAACACACCGAGGACGCAGACCAGTGGAGAACAGGGGAGTTGGAGCGTAAAAATAGAATTAAGACATCGCACCACCTCAGTCCAATATCTCACCAGTTTGGGGCAGCGCCATAACAAATGTATAAGGGACCCTGGCTCGATACCACATTTAGGACATTTGGAGTCTGATCGAAATCCAATTTTAAGGAGGAACTCTGGGTGCGGTATGTTCGATGTAGGATGAAGAGCTGAGACAGCCTATGAGAGGCGGACAGGGAAGAGGCCCCAACCGAGGCTAGGGCAGCATCCCACTCCTCCTCCGTAAGGGCACCCAAGTCTCTCCCACGCCGACTTGCACTTAAGTGGATATTTACTTGAAAAGTGGGAGAGTATGTGGGAATATAATAGGGAGACAACTCCCTTGGTATGCGTGGATGATGCGATCTGTTCAAGAAGTGGCACCTTGGATATGTGTATCGGGCCAACCCCAGGGTGTGCCGAAAGGGCATGTCTCAGCTGAAGGTATTGGTAGAATTGGTTCCCCTTTAGGTTGAACTTGGCTTGGAGTTGCTGGAACGTACACAGTACGCCTTTATCGTAAATCTGGGAAATAAGATGTATTCCCTCTCTTTCCCAGGTAACAGAGTCCCTTAATTTTTGTCCCTCCGGCAATTTACGTTTATCCCACAAAGGGGTAACAGTAGTAACCTCTGAGAGCCCCCACAGGGTCCTGACAGACATCCACACCCTCGCCAGTAGTCTAGGCGTCGGAAAATCAGAATCTGGACAGCAAAGCGTTGTCTAGGAGCGACATTGGGGCTTGAGATCGGAACATGCGTGCAAATAGCCTAGCAGTGGCAGGAAGGTCCTCAGTGAGCGACCAGCCCGCCAAATGCTGCAGGTGTGCCGCCAGAAAATATGCCCATGGGTTGGGAAGTGCCAGTCCCCCCCTGCTCCTTGGGGTATTGAAGGAATTCTAACTTAATACGAGGGGGCTTGCCATTCCAGATGAAATCCCTAAATAGGGAGTTAATCCTTCGGAAGACATTTTGCGGGATCCAGCATGGGGAATTATGTAGAAAATAAAGTATTTGGGTCATCCAAATCATCTTGATCAAATTAATCCTACCCACCACCGATAAGGGAAGTTTCTTCCAGACTTTACATTGCACAGTTAGTCTAGATAATAATGGGAGCAAATTGTCCTCTACAAAAGCGTGGGGATTGGCGGACATATGGACACCCAGGTATGTGAAGTGAGACACAATAGGTATGTGCGATGCCGTAGGGGGCAAGGGGGCCTGCAGGGGATCCAAAAGGAGCAGTGAGGACTTGGACCAGTTGACATAGAGACCCGAAACCCGTCCAAACTCAGTCTGGACATAACCGTAGTGAGAGAGGCATGGGTGTCTGCCAGGAAGAGAAGCGTATCGTCTGCATATAGGGCTATTTTGTCCTCCGCAGGTCCCC